GTGTGTGTGTGTGTGTGTGGGGGGGGGTAGTTGGGTTTGTACTGCATGTTAACCAGGAAACTGCAGCCCCTCCTTTTACATTGCAAACCCATTTTAAATGGCCAACCCAACGGTATTGGTCTGAGAAATGAAGGTGCTACTGTTTGAAACCATTCCCAAATGTTAAGAAGGTTAAAAAAGCCAAAAGACTGTGGCTTACCATGGCTGCCTGCAGGCCGAATTCTGTTGCCTGGAACTGCGTGAGTGATCTCTCACACCAAACCGGCAGGCCCTCAATATAAGAGGAAAAATGTGACCTTGTAACGAAAGCACATGTGCTGTGTAATGTGAACATCAAAATGTAACGTGAAAGAGTGTACCCATTGTTCTCTAAAATGTGTCTTTTTTTAACCACCTCTCCCTTCTCCTCCACCAGCTGCAAATGTTTCTCCTTCGCAGAGGCTAGCAAAGATTAGAAGGAGAAAACGGAGGACTCGGGATGATATGTTCTCGGAGCTCCAGACGTCCTCCCACGGTGACAGAGCACAGCAGAATGCATGGAGGCAGTCAATGACTGACTATAGAAAAGCACAATATGAATGAGAGGAGAGGTGGCCGGCAGAATCGCGGGATGAACCGAGCAAGTGGTGGGCTGAAGATGATAGGTGGCGTCAGCTTGCAGACAGAAGGCAAGAGTCGATGCTCCGGCTGCTGGAGCATCAAACTGATATGCTCCAGCATATGGTTGAGCTGCAGGAAAGGCAGCAGGAGCAGAGACCGCCGCTACAGCCCCTGTGTAACCAACAGCCCTCCTCCCCAAGTCCCATTGCCTCCTCACCCAGACGCCCAAGAACACGGTGGGGGGGCCTCCGGCCTCCCAGTCACTCCACCCCAGATGATTGCCCGAGCATGGGAAGGCTGGCCTTCAATAAGTGCTAAAGTTTTAAACTGTAGTGTGTCCTTTTCCTTCCCTCCTCCCCCCACCCATCCCGGGCTGCCCCCTAGTTGTGTGATAAATTAATAAAGATTGCATGAATGAGAAGTAACAATGACTTTATTGCCTCTGCAAGCGGTGCTCGAAGGGGAGTGGGTGGTTGGTTTACAGGGAAGTAGAGTGAACGGGAGCGGGGGGGAAGTTTCATCATGGAGAAACAAACAGAAGTTTCACAACATAGCCTGGCCGCCATGGTGTCTGGCTGCGCATAATCAGTGGCCAGGTGATTTGCCTCAACCTCCCACCCCGCCATAAATGTCTCCCCCTTACTCTCACAGATATTGTGGAGCGTACAGCAAACAGCAATAACAATGGTGATATTCTTTTCGCTTAGGTCT